AACAAGTGTGAGAGAGAGAGAGAGAGAGAGAGAGAGAGAGAGAGAGAGAGAGAGAGAGAGAGAGAGAGAGAGAGAGAGAGAGACTCTGTCGGTTGCTTTTATCCTTCTTTTAGTTTAGCAGAAAACCGTTATCATATCGATGTGTTTCTTTGGGGCTCCACCGTATTGTGTCCACGGAGGACCAGTGCGGGCTAGATAGGCCTACTCTAGATTGCTTTGCGATGGAACATAAAGGCTGTCGATTCGAAAATGAAACACTGGATGCCTTCATAAGGACACATCTGGTTTGAAAGGGGGAAACTTTCGGGAGGGGCAAGGAAAATCCGGACCACCAATTCAGATTCAAACTTGGAATGTCCAGCGTTGGTCAAGTTTGTCAGCAAACTGGTTTACTGTCAGTGAAAACTCGTCTCTGCTTGGGTAAAGATTTGTTACTTTGAGTTTGAGACAGTTCTGTCAGAGAATTGGTAGTGTTGAGTAAGCATGGGCAAACTATGAGCCGCGGGCAACTTTTGTTAGGCCAGCGAGTCCACCCACTAATTGACATTGAATGTGGCCGGCGGTGAGTTGATAAAAAATGATTGATAGTTTCCAGCTCAGACAGAAGGATTGATTGCATCTAATGATTTATGTGACATTATGCTACAGCGTCGGTTAGTATCCCGTTTAAGAATTTGGGTGTAAAAACCGATTTTACCCAAATATTTTCCTTTTTAAGCATGTTGAATAATATTCGGAATCACTTAATCCAGTTCACACGCATGGTCTAGAGTAAAGAACTGACAAGTAGTAGCAGCTTACCTTGATATCCCAAAAAAGAAGCCAAATCGGCGGACCACTGCATCCTTTAGAGTATAGAGTTAAAAACGCCCAGTTGCGTAGGCCTATCTATTGAAATTATTGCCTGAAACTAAATTATACATGGCCAAGAATTTCTTTTATTTCATCTTCCAGATGACACATGATTCAGACATGAGTATCTTCCATTATAAACCAAATGTTTATTCTAACAGAATAATAATAGTAAAAAGATTTACATGCTCACAAAATAATTGCCTAACTCATTTTGGCTGGTTTGGAGTTTTCGGTTGTGATATGAAGAGTAGAGCCAGCTTGACATAATTCACTTGGATAAAAGAATTAATTATTGAAATATAAAATCAATGGAGTGAAAGAAAGCTTTTTTTCTCATTTTCTCAAAATGTCTAAAAATGATTTAGGCATGCATCTTATGAGCGTGACGAATTATTCATTGTCTTCACTTGTAACTGTGGTATTAGTAGTATGTAATAAACACCAAGTATTGTTCAATTTTGCACACCCCACGACAATGAACAATTGACATGTTTCTTCCTATTATGACGGTAAAGCTGTTTCTTTTCTAAATAAGTAAATGGCATTGTTCCTCACTTTCTGCAAGGCAGGCAAACATCGAAGCATATCGTCCACGTTTTCCAAAATGAGTTCTCGGCCTTTTAGAAAGTCACACAGGGTGGAAGAAAGACTTTCGCACGAAGAACTAACAGCACAAGAGAGTGGGGGAGATGAAGAGGAGGGGAGGGAGAAGGAAGAGGAAAAGGAGGAGGGGGAGAAAGAGCAACTTCTTCCGTACGTAGAATCTAGACGCTCGCCAGAGAAAAACTCCAACCACAAGGTGTCGTCAGCTGGCAAAATGACCGAGCTTGTCTCCAGGCACAATCCACATTCGTCGTACCCGGAGCGATCGACTCGATCGAGGAGCAGCAAAAGAGGTGCGTATATTATTATAACGTGTGTGGTTTATGTTGATGGATTTGTTATGTTTCTTCTGGGTGTCAAATGTGTGCTTTACATCAGCGGATTTATTTCTCTGAGGTGTCAAGTGTATTTAATATGTTGGCATGGTTTTTTTTGTGTGCGGTATTAGTAGAGGTTTTACGACGCTCGCAACTGCACAAGGTCATTTGAGCGCCTGGAGACTAGAGGTGTTGCAAGAGAGTAACAAACATAAAAGAGAAGAAGGGGGATAAGGACGATAGATGTTTGATAGGAAAGAAGAAGTCTCTTTTGGGTGTCAGATGTGTGGGTTATTTTGCATCGGTGTCGTTGCCTCTGTGGGCCCACAGATCTCCATACAAGACTTCGAGAAGTTTGATTGATAAAGAGATGGACGTTAACACAGTAACTGTAACGGTGATTAAGTGTGCGCAAAAAAGCAAGACGGGGAGCCAGAAACAAACAAAAAATGAGAGAAAGAAAAGAAGTAGGACCCCCCCCCCCCCACTGGTGTCTCCAACCACTCTAAATCTAAACCACTGACGTGTGTGCTGCAGTGGTTAGGCACTTCGCTGTCGCACGCAGGAGACCCAAGTTCGATTCCCAAGTGGGAAAACATTTGTAACGAGAATCTGTCATCTGGGATGTTGTTTCCTTCTCAGCTTGGGTTACCCTGGTATCCAAGGTCGGAATCCCGCCTCCTAAATTATCTAAATTGTGTCGATAAGGGCGTAAAACGTACCTATATTAAACAGTTTACCCTGGATGTGGTCTGTGAGGAAACGTTTTGAAAAAGATAAAAACCTGAGCCTCGTCCCCCAAATCTTTAATTTTCGTGTGCAAGTTGACTTTGTCACCAACAGTCCCAACTTGTCCCTTAAAGTTCTCTTCTGAAATTAATATTACGTATCCTCTAAGTCAACTTTTCAGCTCTTCTCTGCATCCCAGTAGCTATTTATTCCTTCTAAGTTGCCCTACATGAGAGGATCCCTCCCCTGATGACCTTGACTACTCAGTTTGAGTTTTCTTTTGTGTCGATAAAGAGAAGCATATCGACACAATAATTAATGGTCATTTGATGCTGGGGAAAAAGTAAGACAGACAGAAACAATAGAGGGAAATTAAAAAATTAGGACCTACCAGCGGTGCCCTCCAACCACCCATCAATGATCAAATTGCAGCGTTCAAACTCTCTAAAAGTACACCGAGAGATCGACACAGATAGTACTGGCCTCGTGTAGATCCGAGACAAGCAGAGATATATACATAAACACAGACAAGGACAACTTTGTACGTAACCGAAATGATAGACAGACGCAAATGAAATGTAGATAGAGAGACGGACGTCGTGTGGAGAAATTCGAGTATTCTTTGTTGTCAACACTGTCTAATAATATCTAAACGCAGGTGGTTTAACATTGTAAGAACGAACGTGATTTGCGACTGCATGTAGTAAGCTCAAGGTTTGAACCCGAAAGGGATCCGAAAGATTTATTCGTTCTTGGATGACACATTTCCTCTCAGCCAAACATCCTCAGAAGGGATGAGGATGTTCAATAAAGAGCCCCGCTTTCGAAAGGGCCTACAATTATTATTGTAGCCTAATTGTACTTCTGGATGTTTGACAATCCCATAAATACAGTTTAGATCGTCTAGGACCCAGGCTGCTTCGAGCCTGCCTGTCAGGCAGGGCCATCTCGGGCTGAGAGAAATACAATATTGCAACAGACACAAGTTTTAGTAAGAGTCTTAAGTTAAGGCACTTGCAACTCAAAAAGGTCACGATATAATGTTGAATGTTAGAGGTATTACAAGAGAGTGACAAACACCAAAAAAAGGGAAGAAGGATAAGGACAATAGATACAGACAGACGGAGATACTCGATTAAAAAAACCTTCCCACAAAGGAAAGGATGTCACGTCTTCTAAGTGCACCAGCGAAGTGCTTAAGCGCTATACCACAGGACGTCCATTAAGTCACAACATTATATCAGGACGTAGGACGTTAAATTTCAACAACAACATGGTGTCCTGATCCCAGCTCAATGTCCACAGCAGCCTCACGGGGGCCCCAGCACAAATCTTCATCTCGCCAGCACAGTCGTGGGGAGCAGCTCAGTCGCGTTCTCAGTCGACCTCACTCCAGTTCTGATGAGAGTGAGGAGCTAGAGATCAAGGGACAGGGAGGAACGTGGCCAGCCTCAAACAACCACGTCCATCTCAGGGAAGATAGTGGAAAGATGCCGAGTCGTGTGAGGTCTTACAGTGGCGATGACGATCAAAAATATGAACAAAATGAAGTGACAAGCCCTCAAGGACGAGCTGCTGGGACGCACACAAATAGAAGCGATAGAATCTTTCCAAAATATAGAAGTGAAGTTACGATGGGTATGTATAGAGACTACCCCAGACTTAAGGCACAGAGAGATAATATCCTGTTGAGAACACAGAGTGACACAGTCTATAAACAACACCCAAGGAAAGAACATTCAACAATAATAACGACCAGGGACGACCCCACGACACACACATTTGTAGATCATTTAAGGCTCGAAGAACAAAAAGGAAACAACATGCTGCAAAGACATAGACGGGACGATGGGGGAGAAAATTACGCGGAGCAGAGAAGAATGAATGAAGATTCGGATAGTAATGCAACGCAACACTATGTAGACAGTGCTACAGCGAAAAACCAGAGAGAAAGCGCCAGGTTGCAGGTTTATGAAGATCATTCACAAGACTTACGGGACTACCCTCCAATGAGAAGCGAGAGGAGTAACGTCATGCCGCAGACGTATAGTGATGAATTTGCGCCAGTTTCCCGTTCACAAGTGTCTGGATATGTCTCTCCAATCCATCACTTGCTTGTAGGCTCGCCAAGAGTAACCGTTGAGGACACGGGGCGGAGTGCGGGAGGTCGGCCCGAGCCACGGCGGATTGTTGGCTCTGTCCGTGACGTCGATCATTTAGCAGACAACCACCGACTTCCGCCTGAGAACGACCCCAATTCTCAGCGCAGCCACCTCCAGCCTACTCAAGTACGCGAGATGACACATGACTCTGTGCAGACGGAAGATAGAGGCAAGTACCGAGAAGACCGCGGATACGCCGAGGAATACAATCCTGGGCATCACAATCACCCAGGTTTTCCGCACCGGTCAGACGGCAATGACTCTCGCCTGACTTACGGGGCCAGTCTCGACGGCGGGCGATCCACTCGCCTCTCTCACCTTAGAAACTCTTTTGCTGGACTAGGTCAGCAACAGTCGGTGCCTGTACATCACGTGACTTTTCCTCCTTCCGGACACTTAGCTTTACAGTCCAGTTCAGTCCAAGGACTGAACCGAGAAGCACCCGGTATACTACATGAACACTCTAGCTTTACACCACGGCAGACGGTACAATCCGGTCGTTCCGCTACAAGTGGATTGTACCGAGACACTTCCACTGGTATGTACAGAGAACCTTCTCACCTTGAACTCGCCTCTGACAGCCGGGGAGAAAGTTACGATATTCCTGTAGGAAAACAACTCCCCCAGCCACAGACGAGTGGATCATCTGTTCCTACCTTAGACGGCTCGTCCTTCTCGCAGAGAGATCATGTTCGTGCCTCGTCGCCTCGATGGCACTCGCACAACCCTCGCGAACAATACACGCTCGACGAGACTCCACGGCGAACCTACGATGATATGCCATACCAAGGTGGGATACTGGCGCCCCCTCGTGTCTCCAGGACAGTGCCTAATGTCTCAGTCTCGTATCACCAAAACACTCGAGGTAGCAGTCGCCTGTCCCATGAACCGTCGAAAGCTTCCACACTGCGACTGCCTGATTCCTACAGCAGACACAGTGATGCGTCACTGCACACGATACAGGGCACGCGGAGAGAAGTGATGACACGCTATCCACACAGTGGTGAGGTCTTGGCGTCCGAGTCTGTAGGTTCGTCCCCAGACGGGCAGTCAGGGGACAGTGAGGAACCCCCTGCTGGCGACACGGGCTTGTGGGAGAGTAATCAAAGCAGACAGACGGAGATGGATCAGGCTCATCAGCGGTATCCTAGAAACCGAGAGGACAGGAACGGTTGTAGGACCTATGCTAGATATCTAATGAGTCGCCAGCATCCACAGCAGAAGAGGGAGAGGAGGGCAGTCAGGGAGACCGTAGACAACCTTGAGTTTGATGATAGACATATGAGAAAGTCTGTCACTTTTGACAGCAGCGGTGTGCTCGAAGTTTTGTCAGAGGATGACGTCAGCGACGACACCCAGAACACTTCCGCGGAGAGCGACAGCGCAGACAATGATAAGAACAATAGTGATGATGACGCCAGAAGCGTTGGGGAGTCCGAATGCGGTTCAGAGAGGAGCGACGATGTCGACATTGACGATGACGATGAGGAAGATGAGAACCAGGCCTATGACGACGACGGTTACGCCTCCACCACGGGAAGACTGTCGGAGAGCGACGCCGGCGGACGTAGTCGAGACCCGCAGAGTCTACACGCCTACTCTGAGCGCGCCTCCCGTAGACACACACACACGCCCAGGTCGGAGAGGAACATCACAGACCACGCCAGCCCGCGCAGAAGGTTGAGCTACAGTAACAGGCATTCGGTTTCACAGCCCTATCTCTCGGGGAAACGCCGAGCTGGGAGGCAGTCCAATTCCTCTCTGTTCTGGGGGACACGAAGACGAGATAATTCAACAGAAGAGGAAGACCAGGAAGAGGGAGGAGAAAGAGAGAGAAATTATATTCGAACTCGCGTAGAACGCGACAAGACGGGTCCGGTAATATACCGCAACACACGAATGAGACACCCACGAGAAATTAAGTCGGCTGACAAAGCGCATACGAAAGGTACCCAGAGGGAGAAGGTAACCCCAAAGAAATTCATACGCCGTGGAGATTTGTTCCGAAACTGTAAACGCCACCTAGGGCAGCCACCAAAGGCTGCACAAGAGATACACCAAGTCTGTCCCAAAGATGTGTTGTTAGAAGGCAACGGCTCTCAGAACAGAGGAATTCTGAAGAATACTGGACCCCGAGTGCCCCGTAGCTCCCTGGTAGGCTCGAAACATGCAGAAGAGAAAGTAACGGTGGTCACTGGAGAGCACCCGCAAACCGCCCATAAATCCCGTCAGCCATCGGGGGTCATTAAGTACTTGGACAACCATAGCAGCTCATGCCTGAAGGGAGTAGACAGTTGTCATCAAGGCTGCTCTGTAATCCCGGCCTTGAGATATACGCGTGGGCATGTTATCTCCTCCACCACCAAGCAGAAAATGGGTACACACAAAATCTCAACGCCTCAAGACCATCAGCATTACAGCAGCAACAGCAAGAATGACACGCGAAGTGTGAAAACAAAATCCTACCCACGCCACCCAAGGGCACGTTATATGTGTCAATAATGGCAGAGCACAACGCGCGTTTCGAAAAGGGAACAAAACTTAACACGTGTCAACAAGAGGTGGCACATACAGAACATAAGCCCATAAGGCATCGACAGCAGGACGAACTAATGGTCAATAGTAGAAAAGTTTGAAAGTTGTGTTGATACATAATAATTATTATTTATCATTGTCGGCTCAATCCACGTTCCGACTTGAGATACACGTAGTTACAGAATACATGTACTTTTAAAGCCTCTTCGCTCAAAGCGTACATTATTCCCTCACAAACTAATGGTCGGATAGGTCCACATTTTCATAGGCCTTTTTTCATAACGTTTGGTCACTTTGAGAGGTGGTAACAAAGTTGTTTAGGGAAAAAAACCCACAGAGGAAGAGAAATTTTAATAACCGAGAAGTTCTTGTACATGCAACAAAAGAATAGAGGAACACATGGCGACTGCCCTTTTTCTAATGCTCATGAAAGATTCGAAAAAGTGTAATTACATGTAGGCCTATATGCTTGAAACAATGGAAAACAATTTAAAGTACTGTACATGGACCTCTGTGTAAACAAGCAGACTTGGTATTTTTTTTTATATTTCTAATGGAGAGAAAGTGAGTGTACTCCCACGTCGATGAGCTGTTTTTGCAGCGCCAGTGAGGAAACTAATATGTGTCAGGACGCGTGGAATCAGGTGCTCGATAATTTTGCGGCATATGGGGCTATCATGGTATCATTTTATAGCATAATAATTTGCTTGCGGATAAAAAATACCCATCTATCTCTATGTCTAGCAGAACTAAAGATACATGTATTTGCGATTGAAGGAGGCTGGGGTCTTTTTAGTACCGGTAGAGGTTTTACGGCGCTCGCAACCGCATAAGGTCATAAGAGCGCCAAGGGGTGGATGTCAACTGAAAAGTCCTTACAGGGAATCAGACTTATTCTGCTCACCTCTCTAGCTTTAATAGCACAAGGTCTGCTTTGACTATCAAGGCACCCCAAAATAGCAGGTCACAAGAGAGTGACAAACATACAAAAGAAGTAGAGGATGACGATAGTAAGGACTAGGAAAGAAAAGGCAGCTGTTCCCTGTTGTAGTTCAGGCACATGGCGTTGGATCAGCCCATTTACAATGCTACTGTGCATTAGAATGAGAAATGGTCCCCCTTTGGGAATGGCCTAGGAAACTTCAGTCGGGGGGG